CCCTCGCAGGCGAAGCAGCCGAAACGTTGGCCATATAAAGTTTTCAATCTTGAGAGGCTTGAACAGGACGTATCTTTACTTCCTATTCTCATTCAGCAATGAGTCCTTGAAATTGTCGTGGGCTGTACCTCTGAGTACGCTCCATCCGAGTTAGACATCATTGCTTGATTGAGTTTTTCTACAAGAATTCGAGAGCTGTTGTTGTTTTGGGATGTATTCGGGCAGAAGTCGTAAAAGGAAATGGTTCAAAGGAAAGTCAAGACAAACGGGGTGGAGGGGTTTTTATTATTCCTGCACCCCTATCTCCGCTCTCCTCTATTGATGCACGCAGTCGGAGAAGTAGGCTTGTAGGGCTTGTACCAACCGAGCAAGCGAATATAACAAGAACTGAACCTGAATTTCTAGCTGCCACGTGAAGATTGTATGAGATTGGTTCATTTCTTTCAGGCAGGCAGATAGGCTGTGCCCAGGTGCCCGAAAGTTTTTCTCTCAATTCAAATATGGCAATGTCGTTTTCTTTGGTGCACTCATTGAAATCTTCGGGAACCAGGACCTGAAAGTGTAAAAAGTATCAGTAAGATGGTGTAGAACCTGGAAATCGAGCAAGATCTCTGACGGCACACATACTTTTGAGGCTGTTACTGTGTGCCGATCGCAACCCGGGCAGTCGCTACCGATGGTGATGTTCCAACTGACGGATTCGTAACGGCGTTTATTTCTGAACATTTTTCCCAGTTTGGCTCAGAAGTTGCCCGGATGAGCAGGAATTGTAGGAAAACTTACTCGTAAACCCGCCTGAAGCATTCTTCTACATTCTGTACCTCTTTTGTCCTGTATATGCAGTGAGCTGCAGTAAGGACATGGCTATGGGAGATGAGTGTTCCACTACAGTTCTTATCTGCAATACGATGTTAACTCGCTGAAACCAAGGTAATCATTGAGAACTTGAAAGATGCGCCTTGCATTCGACTTTTATTCGACATCATGGCTGCATTTAAATACAACATACAAGTGTCTGGTCTGATATCGTTTCATCGATCCCGTATGGTCCTAATTGGCTGGACGAGTAAGAGTCGGGATTCGATCCCAGAACCTTACTCGCGGTAGCCAGGTATACATATTCGAAGCAGTTTCCATTTGGGACAAATCACAAGTTTGCCCCATTACTTCTCCTCACAAAAATGGTCGGGTTGTGTCAGGTGACTACTCTACCGACGATAGGCTTTACGGATCTAATCCTAGATCTATTCTGATTGAACTACACTTCTACAGGCTCTCCAGACCTTT